CAGCTTCTTCAGGTATGGTTATGAGAATGAATGGGGATGGCATGTAAGTGCCTACCAACCCCTCCATGCCACCAGCCCATCGCTTTGCCACGGCAATAAGCTGCTTAGGACAGGAAGCGTTTATCTCACTGAAGGTCACCTTTTGGAAGTGCTGCAAGATGGTCACCATCTAAGATAAGAATATTCATGTTTTAAAAGAAGTTTAGAAAAACTTAACTCTAGGTTTGTAAAAGCAAAAAGGGCTCATGTAACCAAACCAGATTAATAACTAGCTCATCAGTGAAAGACTGCCCTCTATGGAGGACCTGTACATCTCATGGGTCAAGAGGAGGGCCGAGAAGATATCTGCAGACCCCTCACACCCTGGAGGCAAAGTGTTTGAGCTCCTCCCCTCTGGATGGCGCTATAGGTCACTGTACGCCAAGACGACCAGTTTCTTCCTCCGTGCCATCACTTTCATGAACATTTTGTTCTCTGTCTTTTCTTGTTTACTTGTCTACTCGTTGCCTTACGGAAGAGCACCGTGTAAACACACAGAGCTGCTGCACCAGAGTCAAATTCCTCGTGTGTCCGACACACCTGGCTGATTAAGACGATTGACATTCTGACAAATAAATAAAAGGGACTAACTAAAATTTTAACATCGAGACAGACCTTAGTCATTTTAAATTTTGAACTTCCTCCCAGCATTTAACATGCACATATTTTTTTCCTGTTTGGACAAAAACTAAATCACAAAGCAACTTTTGTATTTTTTTCAAGTTGTGTAGTTTTCTGCAAGATTTCGTCACCTGTAGCCAAATCAACATTAATTCCAAATCACATAAACAAGCTAGATACTGGACTGTTAAAACTCTTAGCTGCTAAGTGCACTCTGTAAAACTGATGTAGCAGTTGTTTTTGCATTACCATTAAAAGACAGTATTTTCCAAAAAATTGGGGGAACAGAACAGAACAGACCTGGTCCGCAGCATGAGTCAAGAGTTGGTCGGCCTCGTCCAACACCACGTGGTACAGACGCATGAACATGAAGCAACGGCAGGACAGCAGGAGGACCAGGCTGAAGGGAGTGGTCACTAATAGCAGGCCTGGTAAAAAGAAAATTATGACTGTCCTAGTCTAGGATATTACCAGATGCAGAACAAATGCACCTGGAGATTCTCCAATGATAACATTAGCTGACTACGAGGAGGCAGAGATGTCTGACACTGTGCCTTGCTCACAATTTTTGGGGATCTTGACAGACTTGGCCTCATCTTTGCCAACACCCAGCAGCACGATGACAGGGTGCAGGACGTGGGTAACCTTGATCTCCTCCAAAAGATCATACAACATCTGGGCCTTCTCCCAGCCTGGACAGAGTAGCACCGCTATAGGCTTGACACAAATACAACACAAAGCACAAATCCATAAATAAGAACACTATCCTCTGAAAACAGGTCTTACACCAAAACCCTCCAACTCACCCCTGTGTTGTAGGTGTTGGAGCAGAAGATGGAGTTATAAAGAATGTGGGTGACAAGAGGGGCAAGGTAGCTGAGTGGCTGGTCAGCGCTGTGGGAAACGATGAGTGTGTTACTTCCTCGAGCCACAGCTGGCCAGCTGTACCGGTCAGCTAGTGAGAGAGTGCTATACTGCTTCCTCTGCAACACCTGGAAACACACCGGTCACTGTATGAAGCTCTGGTGAAGTGGCTTCACGATGAGCAAAACATTTTCTGGACACACTGTCCACAACAAAATAAATTCCTCGCCTGTTTTGCTAGGGATGCTGACATTAAAGCAACACATCATAAACAGTTTACCTACATCTAAATTAATTTCAAATGTAATGAATCAGTTGCAGCAGTTACATCCAACACTTATCCTTGTGGAGATGTATCTTAACTATGCAATATGACCTGCTTACAATCAGCAGAGGAGGAAATACAGAATGTGGATAAGAAATTTGACACTCAGATGGAAATGGTGTTTTTATTATGGTGTAAAATAAAGTTAGCATGCAGGCTTCAGTTATACCTCAAACTAATATTTGCCGTCACCAGAACTAAACAACTGACATCACTACAAATAGGAACAACTGTAGCTGTGATTAAATTCAGCTACAATGTAAGGGCAGTTTGGCAGGCTAACTTACACTATTTCCCCACACATGACCTCTCATTATACATGCATTTCTCCATGCATGCCTGCATACACAAAGACACCAATCTTTGCAAAAGCTTGCCAAGTAGGTTAAATGCAACACTTTCCCCTTTAAACCTTTCTAAGGTCATATCAGACTTCCTGTTTACACTGCTCTGTTTGGATGATGCAACAGAACAAACAGTTAATGGTACAACCTGATTTAGGAATTCACTAGTCTGAACTAGTTTCTTCTTCTTGTACAGCACTTTGTTTCTGTTTTTGAAAAATTCCTTTCAACAAAAAAAACATTTTCAGAAAACATTACTTTCAATTCACCCTGCAGGTAAAGGCTACTAAGTGAATTTACTCCGTCAACTTGTTGCACTTCTCTCATCACTGCTTAAATTCTCCTACCATCAGTTTCTCTTATTTATTTACTTTGTTCCGATTTACTTATCTAAAGAGCCTCCAACAAAATTCAAGCTCCTTATTGTTTACCCGGCGGAGATCATCTGTGATGGGGGCATCATCCAGGTTGGTGCAGGGGTCCACTGGGAAAGCAGTGTGCAGCAGAATCCCCCTCCTCCTGGGATCACTGGGAACAACCTGAGAAAGTTCAAGATCTCAGTCTTGTCTTGTCATTTTTCCTTGAAAGACCACACCACCTGGAGTTTAGGTCAATTTTCAAAACCAGGCCACCTTACCCGAGATAAACCCCACCTCCACAAACATAAAGCACTCTACTGTGCACAGTGTACAGTATGCCACACAGCTATTAATGGGGCAAAAATGATCACAAGACCATGTCATGACTCATCACCTCTACTAAACAATCTTCCATTTTTTTCCAAGACATTTATGTACTGACAGCCAACATGAAAAACTAATTTCAGCCTCAACGACATAAAAAGGTGTTGCTGAGAAAACCTACCACATCATCTGCAGCATGAGGATTGGGATTCAGACGCCCTGGGTTCAACCACTCCAAAAGCCTGTGACAAGACAGAAGTGAAAAGCGAGTACTGAAAAAACAAACAAACAAAAAAAAAAAAAACAAACAAAACAAAAAGTCTGTTTTTACACCCCGACCTACTAAAAATTTACGAGAACACTTGATCGTCACAGTGCAACACCAAGTCAGTCAAACTCTGTCCATTTAGGAAGCAACAACACTCCCATCCTATTACAAACTTTGCTGAACAAAGCCTGAGAGGAAACACGCAACATGTCTGGTCGTGAATTTTTTCTCTCCCATACACAGCTCACCGTGCACAGGCCCAGTCCTCGATACACCTCCATGTCTTCTCTGTTGGGCCCGACTCTGAGCTACTGACAAGCAGACACACAGTGGGGAAAATTACACTGTAATTGTGTAACTGTCGACAGAGGAGGATTCAAAGACAGGTAACGACTCTCACCGATACTGGGCTACAACGACTCAGTCATTAAGGGACATTGTTGGCCATGAAAGGACTGAAACATCACCGAGGGGGATAAATATCTCCGGCTCAACACCAGTCAGTCAGAACTGATGAAGCCTCTTGGATGAGAGGTGAAACGTCTTCGACCTAGAAATCTAGTCCACTTGATTTTTTTCTAAGTTTTTTCAGTTTACTATGACCTGGATGACTGAGAATCTGCACAGACATGTTTACTGTACCTTGTTTCGTCACCTGCATCTGGCAGGTGAACTTGTCTGCTCTCAACAAAGCTTGCAGCTCCACTTTTTCCACTGTAGAAAGGACAAATAAATTCAAGACTAATTACTGAGGCTGATTGTTTTTCTTTTAAGTTGAATGAACCAAGCAATTGGCTGAATTAACTTATAGTGACTTGTGAAGCAGAAAACGCTGACCAGTCACATGCGAGCATCCTCACCTCATACAGAGCAATACATCCTCTTCTGGTATTACCGTCTCACTGGTTAATCTGTGTGACAAATCATACTTGGGAAATAAATTACATACACTTACCAAAGCATTTGTGCTGAAGCAATATACACCTGCAAACTCAAGTAAAATCAACTGTTGTAAAACAACTGTTTCTATAATCCCAGTATAACAAAGAGATAAGTTACTGGCAGTCAATTAAATGAAAAGTCTATAAACTGAATTTGTCAAAGTGGGGCAGCATACTCATCCTGTTTTGTGCAGGTGATGCAGACTGAAGTCATCTCTGTAGGATGACAGTCATTCAGTTCCTGGAGGGGGAGGAAAAAACCCATACCAAATTAGGTTTTAGGTCTAGATGACAAGGCTGAAAAGTTGCTTGCTATGATAGCATCAAGTCTTCTTTTATAAAGATTTTTAGGCATCGTTGTCTTTAATGGATAGGGCAGCATGGAACCAAACAGAAAACAAGGGCAGAGAGAATGAGGTGTATAACATGCAAGACAAGCTATGTTCATATCCCCACCGACGTTTCTCTCCAAGTAATGCGGATCTGATGTTTCCACAGAGGTGTGAACAGAACAAATCAGATGTTTTCAGATCAGATCTGGGCCACTTGTACATATATGTGCTCCAAGATCATATCGCCATTAATTGCTAGTTCTCCCATGTTTGAAATGTCAAATGTCTTGCTACACAGTCTACGTTTTGCACATCCCGGGTCCTGGTCTTTTTCAAGTCATGCCCTATACTTGTGCATATGAAACCAAACATAATTAAATCTACATGTCCCTGGTACAGTGCGAATTTACATTGCTCATGTATTAGTTGCAACCTCAAGTTGTCATAGAAAGGGTGTAACAGACAGAAAATACCGTAACCATTCATGAAATTGTAGATAAAATCTAATTTTCATGACTCTTCCAAAATTTTTGTATTTATATTTTTCAGTCCTGGAAATGCTTTCACATTTCATGACCTTTCCAGGTTTCTCATGACCATGTGAACCATGCCACATTAACATGAAGACATCAATATCATACAGAATTGTAATTTCATCAAAATAACATAAGAGAACCCCCCTGTAAATAAACTCACACTGTGAGCCTCCTGTTGGTAGACAGTGCTGGAATTCAGAGACTTCAGGGACCTATGGAAGAGAGTATGAGGGGAGATGCTCCCTTAGTATCAACTAGTCAGGTAAGAAAATATGCTGCTGGTGTCAGCCAGCCAGATGAGAGGTCATGTATGATACTGGACCACCTCTCACCTGAATAGACTGAGGTCTGTGGTCAGAGCTGCAGATGGAGACAAGTCTGGATCCTCTGAAGAGGCCCTGAAACATGCAAACAAGCCAGTTAACTACATACACTGTGGTACAGTCCTCCAATACTAGGAAGGTGTCACAATACCCTGCTGTTAAAAACAGAACAATACCCCATTTTATTAGTACCGATACCTGTGGTAAAGAACGGCAGCTTTTTTATAAGAGCTGAGGTGTGACAGTGGGGCAGCGTGTGCGACCGCTGGGCAGCTTGTCTGCAGCGCTCTACTTTCACTCCCTGTAGGCACAGTGGCCATGTCAACCATTTCAGGCAGGGCTCCACACTAACTTCTTCTACTAGCAACACTGGTGCTCCTTACTGAAAGGAGCACCAGCACAAATTTTAGGTGCACCACTTAAATGGACATGCAGTAAATGTTCATATTTTTCCCCTAACAGTATTACTGATAAATGCTTTGGTGACAATGTCACAAGGTGAAGTTGTGCTCAACAGAAACTGTCTCATCTGCCCTGTCTCTGCCCTCAGATGATGAAAGGTGTCTTTGGTGGCACCATAAATTCCTTCTATTAAAATGATCCGTTATCTGCAATTGTTGTGCACAATTAATGTTATCAAATTAAATGTTCTGCTACTTTATACTTGTACTCTCCATCTCAGAGGCAAATACTGTACTGTTTACTCCCTACATTTATTAACCCACAAGTAACTTATGTTAGTTAGCTTACTTTGCAGATTCATATTAAAATAAAAATCAACTAATACATTATGCTACCTAACAATACAAAGCATAGCAGAAATTAAAATGAGCTATTCTAGACTTAGATTTTTTTGTTCATTTTAAGTGTAAGGTTTTGAGTTCAGGACTTCTGCTGTTACCAGGGTAGCCTATGTAGTGGTAAAAGCAAACTTAATATAGTTAATACTTATTAGCATAGTTGATAGGCCAATGTTAGTTAGGTTAAATCTGAAGTATGGTCAGAGATGAACTCTCTGCTCTTTTGTGAGGGCCTCTGCAGGAACATTGGGTCAGGCTTCCTGTTTTTCAGTACAGGCTGTAGGGGGTTCCCAAAATAGAGAAGTGAGAAGGGTGGGGGCCCGATGGACGTCAAGACTGACAAATTGCAGGAAGTTGGGAAATAGCTATATAGTCAGTTGCCGAGCTGATAAGACAGACTTAGACTTAGAGAGCGTGTGGGTGCATGTGAGGACTTCAGAAGACAGACAAAAACTCCAAACTCTGCAGAGACCCAAAAATCAAGGTGGTCCTGTGTCTCGCCCTCTGAATCCATTATTACAATATATTGTTCAATAAATGATGATTGGCACTGCAGTGATTCTCCCTGTGAATTAATTCTATACACGACACCTATTTTTTTTTAACTGTGGTATTACTACTGACCCACCTCTGGGGTAGCAGTGTGACAGGCTGTCATTTTATTGTCACTGCGGCATCATCTGCATAATGTTCAGTAGATTCCAGCTCACCTGTTTCTGAATCTCGTAAAAGTAAACTGCCAAAATGAGCCCAATGTGTACTCACCTCTCTGCAGCAGCACCTAAGCTGTTCTTTGATTGGCTGCCTGGAGGCTGTTCTGTGACCTCTGACCTGCCATATGCCTTGGAGATCATCTGCTCATGTTCTTGGCTCTGTCATAGAGAGGTCAGAGGTCAGGATGTCAGGATGTATGGAGATTTACTACAGTAGTGGCAGTAACATGGTGAACTTAGCTGCTGACCTGAGGTGGAGAGGGTGCTGTTAGCAAATCACCAGCCCTGGGTGCAGCCAGACTGTTTACTCTCACTGAGGGTTAAACCAGATCAGAAACAAAGAATGAACTGAAAGCCAGCACCAGCTCAGACTGTCTTACAGATGACTGACATGATTCTAAACTGACAACAGCTGCTGTGTATGGGAAAGAATAAAATGAACGTCGTAACAGCAACAACTGAAAGCTACAGGACTGTTTGTTACTATTATCATATCAAAAGGGACAATACAGCAGCTCTGGCCTGTGAAAATTAAAAACAAAAAAATAAAATAAAATTCAATACACACTGAGGAAAACAAAGAGCCATGAAATGCAATTAAATAAATCAAAACTACCACAGCCGACAAAACAGCCTCCCCTCCTCAAGGCCCACTGAGGGCTTTTGATCCTATCAGGATATTCAGCAGATAGTTTTCTCAGCTCTCTGATCACTTTAGGGATTATAGGCTTAAAAGTTACTAAAACCTCCATAAAATCTGCTATTACCTGGCAGCTGAACAGAACAGCTTGGGGCCTGTTTTGTTGGCTGTGTTTTCTAATGTGAAGAATGGACTTCAAAAGTCAAAAATCAGAACATTTTTCAGTGCATCACTTTATTACTGCAACTGTCAACATGACAAATTCTGTCATCTCAGCCCAAACATTTATGACTACACACACACACACACACACCGTGTGGATGTGTCAACTTACACAGACACCCAATGTAGTGTAAACTTACACAGTCTGGTCTGAACACATAATCTGTACAATTACCAGAAGGTGGTTTGTTTGAGGTCTTGGAGACAATCTGGTGTAGACCGCTGGAGGGCACAACAGGAAAGCGGACCACCTCACCCAGGCCGCTGCCATCAGTGGACTTGGTGCTGCTGTAATATGCAAACCCCTTGGCCACCAGGTCATCATTCACACAAATCTGGGGAGAAAAATCCTAGATGTTTGTTCTGTGTTTCTGCAGATTTAATCAAAATTCCTCTCTAAAGACACTTTAATCTTTATTAAAAACTCGGTGCTAGATAATGTAGTGCTGAAAAGATGAAAGTTGGTCCTTGTTCATTATGTTTAATTATATGATATTTACTTAATATTGATGTGTGCAAGACCGACAAGGGTAATACAGGCAGTGGTGACAGCTAACCCTAACCCTTGAACAGGCAACAGAGAGAAAGGCTTATCAATCTACCTGGACAGCTGCCCGGACTGAGCTGAGGCACCTGCCAAGGTCACCTACTAGACACTTCAGAGGGGGTTAGACAGAACAGATTTTTTATATTATGATGGGAATGATTAAGTCTGCTTAGGTCTGTCTGTCAGATTACAGCATTAATTTGTCTGGTAGCTTCTATCAGCTTGTCATTTGTTACTTGCATGGTTATTAACGGCTGCTTTTTAGCAAGTAATAATGGTATATTAAGTAGTTTATAACTGGGTTTTTGGAGGGGTATGACCAAGTCTGACACACCCCAACTGTAACACTTCCACTGACCTGTAGTGAATGACAGTGGTGCACAGGTCTGACTGTGCAGCATGGAAGAATCATATCATCACTGGTCTGATTTTACCTGATGTCAATAACACCAGTAACCTGTTAAGACTTTTCCTGAGTGTATATATATATACACAGTGCCTTGCGAAAGTATTCGGCCCCCTTGAACTTTGCGACCTTTTGCCACATTTCAGGCTTCAAACAAAGATATAAAACTGTAATTTTTTGTGAAGAATCAACAACAAGTGGGACACAATCATGAAGTGGAACGAAATTTATTGGATATTTCAAACTTTTTAACAAATAAAAAACTGAAAAATTGGGCGTGCAAAATTATTCAGCCCCCTTAAGTTAATACTTTGTAGTGCCACCTTTTGCTGCGATTACAGCTGTAAGTCGCTTGGGGTATGTCTCTATCAGTTTTGCACATCGAGAGACTGAAATTTTTGCCCATTCCGCCTTGCAAAACAGCTCGAGCTCAGTGAGGTTGGATGGAGAGCGTTTGTGAACAGCAGTTTTCAGTTCTTCCCACAGATTCTCGATTGGATTCAGGTCTGGACTTTGACTTGGCCATTCTAACACCTAGATATGTTTATTTGTGAACCATTCCATTGTAGATTTTGCTTTATGTTTTGGATCAGTGTCTTGGTGGAAGACAAATCTCCGTCCCAGTCTCAGGTCTTTTGCAGACTCCATCAGGTTTCCATCCAGAATGGTCCTGTATTTGGCTCCATCCATCTTCCCATCAAGTTTAACCATCTTCCCTGTCCCTGCTGAAGAAAAGCAGGCCCAAACCATGATGCTGCCACCACCATGTTTGACAATGGGGATGGTGTGTTCAGGGTGATGAGCTGTGCTGCTTTTACGCCAAACATAACGTTTTGCAGTGTTGCCAAAAAGTTCGATTTTGGTTTCATCTGACCAGAGCACCTTCTTCAACATGTTTGGTGTGTCTCCCAGGTGGCTTGTGGCAAACTTTAAACAACACTTTTTATGGATATCTTTAAGAAATGGCTTGCTTCTTGCCACTCTTCCATAAAGGCCAGATTTGTGCAGTATACGACTGATTGTTGTCCTATGGACAGAGTCTCCCACCTCAGCTGTAGATCTCTGCAGTTCATCCAGAGTGATCATGGGCCTCTTGGCTGCATCTCTGATCAGTCTTCTCCTTGTATGAGCTGAAAGTTTAGAGGGACGGCCAGGTCTTGGTAGATTTGCAGTGGTCTGATACTCCTTCCATTTCAATATTATCGCTTGCACAGTGCTCCTTGGGATGTTTAAAGCTTGGGAAATCTTTTTGTATCCAAATCCGGCTTTAAACTTCTCCACAACAGTATCTCGGACCTGCCTGGTGTGTTCCTTGTTCTTCATGATGCTCTCTGCGCTTTAAACGGACCTCTGAGACTATCACAGTGCAGGTGCATTTATACGGAGACTTGATTACACACAGGTGGATTCTATTTATCATCATTAGTCATTTAGGTCAACATTGGATCATTCAGAGATCCTCACTGAACTTCTGGAGAGAGTTTGCTGCACTGAAAGTAAAGGGGCTGAATAATTTTGCACGCCCAATTATTCAGTTTTTTATTTGTTAAAAAAGTTTGAAATATCCAATAAATTTCGTTCCACTTCATGATTGTGTCCCACTTGTTGTTGATTCTTCACAAAAAATTACAGTTTTATATCTTTATGTTTGAAGCCTGAAATGTGGCAAAAGGTCGCAAAGTTCAAGGGGGCCGAATACTTTCGCAAGGCACTGTATAAAGCACTTGAACACAGCCGAGGCCAACAAAGTGCTTAACATAAGATACAATTCAAAACATCTAAAAACGTGACAACTACAATATTAAAATACCAATAAAATAACATAAAAGAACCAACATAGC